GCGGCCCTGAGCCTGGGGTGGGTTCCTGCTTCCCCATCGCCTGGCTCAGCCAGGGCGGCGTGGACGGGGAAGGCCCAGCCCAGGGCCCAGGGGACAAGGCGGTGCAGGGATGAAGCCCACACTGGCCAGTGTAGCCGATGTCACCCACCACCTGGTCACAACCGGAGCCAGTTCGGTGTCACCCCCTCCCCTGCCGTCCAGCCCACTGTGGGGAGCGAAGGGGTGCAGTGAGTGCCGGCAGCCCTCACCCACGTGTCGTCCAGGGCCGTGTGTCCATCCCCGCGAGCCTGTCGGTCTCGCCTGTGTGGCCAGGAGCAGGCTGCCTTCCCCAGTTCCGGGTGTTGTGTTGTGTAAGAACTCTGCCACCACCCTGGGTGGCTTTGCTCACAGGCACGCGGGGACTATGGGGAGGCGGGTGCGACGAGAGGGGCTGGAAACCAGGGGATAGGACCGGGGCGGGGCCACCTGGAAGCAGCGGGGCCCAAGTGGGGCAGAGCCGTATGTTCAGGAGAGGGGAGTCCTTCGGCCGCTGCTGCCACCCTGGGGCCCCCTGGCCCGCAGTGGGCAGGTCTGCTAGCAGGACAGTGCTCTCAGTCAGAGGGACCAGCTGGTGGTCACAGGGGGGCAGAGCCAGGATGGGGGCGCCAGCCTGAGGCTGGTTGTGGGGACCCCTGGCACTCCCTCCAGGCCCTGCCCCTGACACCCCAGTGCAGGCAGCTCCTCAGGTGCCCTGAGCTGTAGGCCCTGACACTTTGGGGTTCCCTGATGAACATGCCAGTAGGTCATGGGTTTGGGGTTCAATTCTTAGTGCTGGCAAAAGGTAAACCCAATTGTGTGTGTGTGCGTGTGTGTGTGTGCATATGTGTGTGTGCATATATGTGTGTGTGCATATGTGTGTGTTGGGGTTTCCACAGGTTGTGAAGGCTGCCTGCCCTTCCTCATATGGCCACCAGAGGGCGCGCGCGGCCAGGCGATGCCTGGCTCCCTGGGACTGGAGCCCCAACGCCTCCCAGCTGACTGGGGCCCACCCCTTCCTGCCCGCACTTCACACGTGGGCACCCCAGCCCTGGTGGGAGGAGGCCCCAGCCTCCCTGCCCCTTAATGGAACCAGGATTAGCAACTGTGGGTGCAAATGGCTTGAATGAGCTGACTGTCCTCCCCCCAGTTATCGTGAATGGGTGCTCTGTGAGCGCTCGCTGGGCCAGTGGCCCTTCCCTACAGGGCACAGGAGGCTGCCTCACCTCCTCCTACAGGGGAGCTGTTCCCCGTCACCTCGGGGCCACGTGGCTGCATGGGGATCAGTGTCAGAGGACGGCCGCAGTCGCCCGAGTGTCCACGCATCACGGCGGGGTTACCCTGCGCCCCCCTCCCCCCGCACTCCACCTTGGCCGCTGGCACTGGGGCAGTGTGGCCTCTCCTGCACCCCCAGCCGCCTTCACCTGGCCCCGGTCTGTCCCCCAGGGTGGCCCTACAAAGGCGGGGCCTCAGAAGCCACCAAGACAGGGGCCCAGGTCCTGGCGGGCTCTCAGCCGGCCTAATGCCAGGCCTTTCCTCCAGGAGGCCGGCTCCTGTCCGGGTGTGGTGGCCACCCCCTCCTCCAGCCTGGTCTCCGTGCAGAGCCCCAGGCAGGTCCAGGGCGCTCCCGGGATGACCTGGCCGAGGGT